ATATATATGGAAATATAGATCATTATAAAGAAACTACTTCAGCATTATTATGTTCATTTTACAGATAGGAGCTGATGATAATAGCAGTTTGCTTAAATCTAACTACTGTGTGGCTTTTGTGAGATTTTGAATCAAGGATGTCTTTAAGAACATGTTTGGAGTCCAATCTCATACAACATCCAAGGGAATTCAATCTGACCGGCTTCTGATACGTGTGAAGTTCTTTCCAAATACTTTCACCTTCCAGGACAATTCTGTAAGTATAACAGGATTTTTATAGAAGATACTGAAATCTTTTCATAAAAGGAAGGGACAACTGCACTTGACTAAATCCATTCCCCTCCCTAACCCAAAATTTCTTAGAAATGCTAATAATTCTGATGACAAAATAGATACTGCAATAGATTCTTCTCCTGATTCTTTTAACATTGTGATTTTTCTAACACTGCACTTTTTCTTTATTACACTTATGACTGTATTTTAATATTTTAGGCATTATGAATGGTAGGAATTTATCTAATCCTGTGTAAACTTTGCCCATTAATCAAAACACTTTTGAGTGGAAGAGCCATGTTTAAATAACACTTGAACACATTGGTACTGAATCATCTCTAAATAGTGACAAGCAGTCTTGATCCTTTACTCCTGTTAGAAAAAATTATGTTTCATAATTTTTCTACTATCAATTTTTGAGTAATGTCAGATTTACAGAAAGCCTAGTTCTGAACATTTGGAGAAACAAAAATGTATGTGGTGCTACCTGTGGAATATGAGGGAGCTTTTTGTTCTCACTCTTATAACTACAGATGCCATGTGAGATTTATTCACACGAATTAAAACTTTTGAAAAGTAAAGCAAATAATTTGTGGAAAATAGCATTAAAGCTCAAAAAGGGTAAAAGCAACAATCCAGATTATATTAATACAGCCATGGGAAAAAGAAAGCACACTCTCTTTGAGTTCTATGGTTTTACGTATCAGGACATAATAAAAATCATCTGGTCCTTAGCAGTTCTCAAAA